AATGTTTGGGGGTTCGAATTAATTTTCTAGCAAAAATCTGTTTTTTTTCATGTAAACAGAGTGTGTCAACAAAGCTCGGCCTTCAAGTGGTTAGAAGAGTGAGAGATGTGTGGCATAAGCTTCCAATGTGTTTTGGTGTGTTATTCCACATATACCCATTGCATGTGTGAGCAATATATCATTTACCGTATTTTTCGCTCCTTAAGACGCACTTTTTTTCCCCCAAAAAAAGGGGGGAAAATGTCAATGCGTCTTATGGAGTGAATGTCAGAATATCGGGCCGGCCACTCAGCTCTTCTCTCCTGCAGGACCTTACCTGTTCCTCTGTCCAGCGCTGTAGTCTTCCCGCGCCGGCTTCTGTGACAGCCGGGTGCCCACTGCGCATGCACAAGAAGCGCTGCACTTTGTGAATGGTCCAGCGTCTTCGGGACACATGACAGGTCCCAGAAGGCTCCGAGCATTCACAAAGCGCAGCGCTACTCGCGCATGCGCAGTGGGCACCCGGCTGTCACAGAAGCAGCCGCGGGAAGAAGAAGGAAGGACAACTCCGCGGAAGTGTCAAATTCAGGTACCCGTTCCCCCCTCCCTCCCCAAAGGTCCGCAGTCTCTGGTAATCTCCTTTACTTTCTGCAGTCTCTGGTAATCTCCTTTACTGTCTGCAGTCTCTGGTCATCTCCTTTACTGTCTGCAGTCTCTGGTCATCTCCTGTACTGTGTCCGCAGTCTCTGGTCATCTCCTGTACTGTGTCTGTAGTCTCTGGTCATCTCCTGTACTGTGTCCGCAGTCTCTGGTCATCTCCTGTAGTATGTCCACAGTCTCTGGTCATCTCCTGTACTGTGTCCGCAGTCTCTGGTCATCTCCTGTACTGTGTCCACAGTCTCTGGTCATTCCCTGTACTGTGTCCGCAGTCTCTGGTCATTCCCTGTACTGTGTCCGCAGTCTCTGGTCAATCCCTGTACTGTGTCCCGCAGTCTCTGGTCATTCCCTGTACTGTGTCCGCAGTCTCTGGTCATCCCCTGTACTATGTCCGCAGCCTCTGGTCATCTCCTGTACTGTGTCCGCAGTCTCTGGTCATCTCCTATACTTTGTCCGCAGTCTCTGGTCATCTCCTGTACTATGTCTGCAGTCTCTGGTCATCTCCTGTACTATGTCTGCAGTCTCTGGTCATCTCCTGTACTGTGTCTACAGTCTCTGGTCATCTCCTGTACTGTGTCCACAGTCTCTGGTCATCACCTGTAGTGTGTCTGCAATCTCTGGTCATCTCCTGTACTGTGTCTGCAGTCTCTGGTCATCTCCTGTACTGTGTCTGCAGTCCATTGGTTCAGAATATTTTTTTTCTTGCTTTTCTCCTCTAAAACCTAGGCGCGTCTTATGGTCAGGTGCGTCTTATGGAGCGAAAAATATGGTAAGTGAAAACTTGTGTAAAAAAAATTGTTTTTGTCATTTCCCAAAAATTTGTGGCAATAATAAATAAAATCTTCCATGGAATCAACATGCCTCACAGCAAATTTCTTGGTGTGTCTACTTTCCAAAAAGGGGTCATTTGGGTTTTTTTTGTACTGCCCTGGCATTTTAGCAGCTCAAGAAATGTGATAGGCAGTCAGAAAGAAAAAGCTGTGTAAATTCCAATAAAAATATACCATAGTTTCTAGGCACTATAACTTTCAAAAAAACTAATTAATACACATGAATTGGGATTTTTTTCGCCAAAGACATGTAACAGAGGCCTACATTTCTGACTAACTTTGAATTTATTGAATATTTCTTATAACCAAAAGTAGAAAATATAATTTTGTTTTTTACAAAATGTTCAGTCTTTTTTTTTGTTTTTATCACAAAAAATAAAAAACCAGAGATAATCAAATACCACCAAAAGGAAGCTCTATTTGTGTGAAAAAAGGACGTAAATTTCCTTTGGGTACAGCGCTGCATGACCGCACAATTACCAACTGAAATAGCACAGTGCCAAATAGCAAAAAAATGGCCTGGTCATTGGGGGGGGGGGGGTAAGTCTTCTGGAAGGCAAGAGGTTAAGGAATGTAAAATCTTGCTACAACAAGGTACCCCTTATGAATTTACCAAGCTGTGGGATCCATGGTTACAAGTTCCGGAATTAGCCCCTTTGACACTGATGTCTCTACATATCTTTCAATGTTAATTTTATTGCTGGTGTAGGTGACTGATGTTTGGATGGATTATGCTATGGGTGAGGTGGAGTGCCATGGGCACGTAATGGGTAGGCAACTTATATGAGCATTGTGTTTTGCACTTGGAATAGGACATATCAGTGGTACTACTCCTTAGTTTCTATTTTTTGTAGAACAATGAGTATTCTTCTCTGCTCTCATTTGCGCTTTTTAAGCACAGGAAGCTTTAAGTAATGTCATAAATGTTTTGGGGTCGTGACATTGATCTCCTTATTTTGTATGTTGTACTGATTTTTGGTTATTTGATCATCTACCAATTATTTTTTATACAGTGCTAGATGCATTATGTATTAGTACTGCAGAAATGTAGGTTTGCTAATGTACATTAAGTTTTGTTTTGTGATTTGTTGTTTTTTTTTTAAGTTATTTGAAAAACAAAAAATTGCCACAAAGGGGTTTCTGTGCTTTTTCCAGAAAACTAAGAATGTTCTGCAAAATCAGTGTCATTGGTGAAAACTGTATTTATGTTATTTGTTTAAAAAAAAGGTTTTATTTCATTGTCAAAATATATAAATAATCAAACAAGATTTACCCATATGCCAATCACAAAACCTAAGGGTAAAGTTACAATTCGTCTCCATTTCCCAGGAACAATCCCTTTTTTAAGAAGTTTATCCCTGGGAAACTAATATCCCCAGCAGTGAGTGCTTATTAATCAAACAAGGAAAGACACTCCTTGAGAAACAGAACTGGTCACCAATGTTTTTTTAGGGAGGGGGAAAATACTACCGACCATTAAAACTTTTCAGGGTTGGGGGGGGGGGGGTGTGAAACACCAATTCTTTTCAAGGGGGAGGAAGGAAGCACTATTAATTTCCAATGCTTTTTCTGGGGGAAGGGGGACAAGTTTTTTTTGTCTTAAAATAAAAAAGTTATACTTACCTACCCGATGCATTGATTTTGCACAGAGTGGTCTCTTACCACCTCTTCTGGAGTCCCCATTCAGCTCTCTCTGCTTCTCTTTTCTGAGTGCCCCTTCAGGAAGCCAGCTGCTAATGGGGGACCTATGTGCACATGCTCCAGAGCCAGGCTGTGTGCATCTATAGACACATAAAGCATGGCTCCACTACACGTCTTGCTCTCTCCTCACAGGACAGTTTTGTATCACCAAGAAGAGGGACAACCTCAGCAAACCACTGGCCGATTTCTATTGCTGGAAGGAAACTACCTGAATAAAAGCATTTTTACTGTAATGGATCAATTTGGGGTGTTGCTGCTATGTAAGCTAATTGTTAAAGAAACAATTCAAATCCAAATATTTGCTGCTAGACTACTCTGTCACTGATAAAAAAAAAATTATACAGTTACATAGCACCATGTATAGCTGTAAGGCATCCCCAAGCATGTAGTTTAAGGGATTTGTGTATTTTCAATGTTGTTCCCAATGCCATATGAAAATGTCTTTTCATTTGATTAAAAAATATACTTTTGCATTGCTACATGTGCCTCATGTAGAGATGATCTAAATGATTTTATCTCAGCAACTGTTTAGCACAGATGTTATACACTATATTGCCAAAAGTATTGGGACACCTTCCCTTACACGCACATGAGCTTTAATGGCATCCCAGTCTTAGTCTGTACCGTTCAATATTGAGTTGGCTCACCCTTTGTAGCTATAACAGCTTCAACTCTTCTGGGAAGCCTGTCCACAAGGTTTAGGAGTGTGTCTATGGGAATGTTTGACCGTTCTTCCAGAAGTGCATTTGTGAGGTCAGGCACTTATGTCGGACGAGAAGGCCTGACTCGCAGTCTCTACTCTAATTTATCCCAAAAGTGTCCTATTGGGTTGAGGTCAGGACTCTGTGCAGGCCAGTCACGTTCCTCTACCCCAGACTCACTCATCCATGTCTTTATGGCCATCCCCAAACTTCCCACAAAGTTGGGAGCATGAAATTGTCCAAAATGTCTTGGTATGCTGACGCCTTAAGCATTCCCTTCACTGGAACTAAGGGGCCAAGCCCAACCCCTGAAAAACAACCCCACACCATAATCTCCTCTCCACCAAACTTTACACTTGCATTTTGTCTAAATGGAAAAATGTCTCTTAAAACTTCCAAACATTTCAGAGAATGCCTCCTCCCCCCCTCCTCTCCCACTTTTGGGGGGGGAGTAGTACCTAGTTTTAGTAGGTATCTGCTCCCACTTCAACTCCGAATGCTGGAGATCAAATCACCCTTCCTCCCTGCACACAATTTTCCAGGTCACGTCACAAGTTCCAGGAGGCTCCGGGACTATTCATACAGCGCAGTATGGTTTATCTCAGAAAACTTGTCAACTGGCCCAGGTGAAGACAGCGCTGGATCCCTGGTAAGTGGCCTTTTTTAAAAAAGTCAACAGCTACAGTATTTGTACCTGCTGACTTTTTTTTTTCTTAAGACTGAAGATCCTTTTTAATAACAATATCAGAGTCAGGTTCTTTATTGTGTTAAATTCTTGAATTACTAAAACGTCATTACAACGAAACATACATCAAAGCAGAGCTACAGGAAGTGATGTTGCTCCGTTCCATTGGAGACACCTGGAAGTGGTGAGATTTCTTGACCGGGAAGACATACTGACTGAGTTCACATCAAGTGTGGTGGACCCGGTTTGCTAAAAGATTCAGTGATTAAACTCTGGTGCGGGGCGAAATGCACAGATACATGTGAATGCATTTACTAGAATGGAACTCTGTTGCTGTATGGATGAGTATTTTTAATAACAGCTTTTACAATGTTAGAGTTCCACACCCCCCCCCCCCCCACCCTTTCCAATCCTGATAATGCTGCAAGGAAGGAGAGATACAGCCCTGGACAGGGGCGGACTGACCATTTGGAAACTCGGGCACTGCCCGAGGGCCCGGGGTCAGTAGGGGGCCCCATGAGATGCCCCTGGTACCTTTTTCATAGGCTTTTTTGAGTTTAAGCAAGGACACAGGGGCCCCATCATCCCCTATTGCCCGGGGGCCCCATGAGTTGTCAGTACGCCCCTGGCCCTGGATATTGTAACCCCTTAAGTGGCAGAGCACATTTAGACCTACTCTATTGGGAGGGTTTATGGTCATCTGGTGAGTTCTCCAGGGTGGTGGTGGCACACAGTGGTGGAGTGGAACACTGAAGATATTACACTGTATATAATCTTTATGAACTGTGTGTGGTGCAATTTTTACACTTGGTTTGAACAGTTGCACAGAGCATCGTATATACAGTGCACTGTTATGGAAAAGGTTCATTGAAAGTAGCATTCCCTTCACTGGAACTAAGGGGCCAAGCCCAACCCCTGAAAAAACAACCCCACACCATAATCTCCTCTCCACCAAATTTACACTTGCATTTTGTCTAAATGGAAAAAATGTCTCTTAAAACTTCCAAACATTTCAGAGAATGCCTCCTCCCCCCCCTCCTCTCCTCCTTTTTGGGGGGGAGTAGTACCTAGTTTTAGTAGGTATCTGCTCCCACTTCAACTCCGAATGCTGGAGATCAAATCACCCTTCCTCCCTGCACACAATTTTCCAGGTCACGTCACAAGTTCCAGGAGGCTCCGGGACTATTCATACAGCGCAGTATGGTTTATCTCAGAAAACTTGTCAACTGGCCCAGGTGAAGACAGCGCTGGATCCCTGGTAAGTGGCCTTTTTTTAAAAAAGTCAACAGCTATACAGTATTTGTACCTGCTGACTTTTTTTTTCTTAAGACTGAAGATCCTTTTTTAATAACAATATCAGAGTCAGGTTCTTTATTGTGTTAAATTCTTGAATTACTAAAACGTCATTACAACGAAACATACATCAAAGCAGAGCTACAGGAAGTGATGTTGCTCCGTTCCATTGGAGACACCTGGAAGTGGTGAGATTTCTTGACCGGGAAGACATACTGACTGAGTTCACACCAAGTGTGGTGGACCCGGTTTGCTAAAAGATTCAGTGATTAAACTCTGGTGCGGGGCGAAATGCACAGATACATGTGAATGCATTTACTAGAATGGAACTCTGTTGCTGTATGGATGAGTATTTTTAATAACAGCTTTTACAATGTTAGAGTTCCACACCCCCCCCACCCCCCCACCCTTTCCAATCCTGATAATGCTGCAAGGAAGGAGAGATACAGCCCCTGGACAGGGGCGGACTGACCATTTGGAAACTCGGGCACTGCCCGAGGGCCCGGGGTCAGTAGGGGGCCCCATGAGATGCCCCTGGTACCTTTTTCATAGGCTTTTTTGAGTTTAAGCAAGGACACAGGGGCCCCATCATCCCCTATTGCCCGGGGGCCCCATGAGTTGTCAGTACGCCCCTGGCCCTGGATATTGTAACCCCTTAAGTGGCAGAGCACATTTAGACCTACTCTATTGGGAGGGTTTATGGTCATCTGGTGAGTTCTCCAGGGTGGTGGTGGCACACAGTGGTGGAGTGGAACACTGAAGATATTACACTGTATATAATCTTTATGAACTGTGTGTGGTGCAATTTTTACACTTGGTTTGAACAGTTGCACAGAGCATCGTATATACAGTGCACTGTTATGGAAAAGGTTCATTGAAAGTTGCACATATGAACATTTAATTTCATGAACTGTATGTGGTAGAGTTTATACAGTATATCTGGTTTGCACAGTTGAATGGTTGCACTTTTATGGAAAAGAAAGATTGAAGACTGCACATACGGACATTTAACTTTAAGGCACTATTTGGATGTTAGATTGTTTTGAGAATATGCACTTTATTTATAAACTGTTTACATAAGATATACTGTATAGTGAGTTATATGAGCTCTGTATGGTAAGAATAATAGAAATTTATATAAAGTGCAGCACAATAAAATAAAGAACTAATATCTAGTGCAAAAGTTCATGAGAGCCAAATATGCTGAAATCAAAAGAGGGACAAGCAATGCTCTCTGCTAAAATCCATTTACTCAAGAAAGAATTAAAATCACACTTACAAGTCTAACACTTTTTCCCAAGTGCAAATTACAACGTTTTGAAATGAGACAAAGGTCAATCGACAAGATAGCTCCAGATGCCCCTAAAAGCAGCTTTCAAAATGTTGTGTGTACATGAGCCCTAAATAACCAAAAATGGTGAAGTCCTGGGGTAGCCCATGACCCGTTCAGGTGTGTCCAAGGCATGATTAAGGGAAAGATCCAAAGAGTGCTGCACTTTTCCTTGCCATTTCTTTGTTGTCCAAACGAACACTGAGTAAAGACTATCTCACACTCGCTGATGAGCTGAATCTGTAGATTTCTTAATTCATATTTCTATAGCACATTTTTTCCCTGGGAACTCAAAGTACTTTTATCTGCTAGTGGGTCAGAATGTGAGGCAGCCACCTTGGGCACACTCAGTACAATAAAATACTAGGGAAATATTTGAAAAGGAGTCAATTAGCCCATCAGCATATCATTGGAGTGTGGTAGGGCACCAATCTTGACCACTGATGTCTGCGTCTGTGTTAACCCTTGATGTGCCTGAAAGGAAGCACATGTCTATGGGTATGTAACTTCATTTCTACTGTTTTAGGACTTAATAGGTTTTATTAAAATGGAAATTTGAACAGTTGTTTTCAATAATTGTACTCACCACATTTGGGAGAGCAGGCAATCAATAAATCATCCTCCCTGGCTTCAAATTTTTCAAGTACCTTAAATGACTCCTCACTGCAGACACTACTAAGGTACAAAATCCCCTTATAATCGAACAGTAAATCCTCAGATGAAGATTTGCCAGGATTAAATAACAGGCCCATGAGTTTTTTCCCGATCTTTAGTTTGCTTAGTTAGTGCCATGTCTCACTCTTGCACATAACACTTCGACTGATCATTTCTTGTACAACAACCTGTTTATACAGGTTTATACAGGCAAAGGGTGTGTTAGTACTTTGTGACAAAGGGCACAAACACATTCGCATGTAATAGAAATTTTGGATTAATCATTTACTAGGGCTTCTGTTATGTTTTGCAGACATACTGTATATTGTAGCCTTATGATAAGCAAGACTATTACAAAATATACAGTATGCAATTTAACACTGGATTCCTTACTGTTCATTCTAAAATGTATTGTTCTATGGATATTTAGAGCATTTATTACTAAAAATTAAATTATGGAAGGTAAAAAACAGTTGAACATTTTAAGTATTAAAATCTTTCTTTAACCCTTGTTTTAGTTATGTGGGCTGAACAGAGCACCGACAGTTGGATTTTCACCTAATTATGATTGTGATTTTAAACAAAATGAGCCCATGGTCAGCCATTAAAGTGACCTGCTTTATAAAGTATTATAATTCTGTACAGGTTGGCAGTGGAGTCTCAATGGCATAAGGGACCTAAACCATCTAAAGTGTGAAATGTCAATTGTCAGCCAAGCAAATATTGAGAGTGTTACATAGTTACATAGTTAATCTGGCTGAAAAAGAGAAAAGTCCATCCAGTTCAACCATTAAAAAAAAAAACGTTATAATCCTATACCCACAGTTGATCCAGAGGAAGGCAAAAAAACCCCCAGCAAAGCATGATCCAATTTGCTCCTGAAAGGAAAAAAAATATTCCTTTCTGATCCTCCGAGAGGCAATTGGATATTCCCTGGATCAACTTTACCAATAATGTTAGTATCCAGTTATATTCTGTGTATCTAGAAAATAATCCATGTTTTTTTTTAAAGCAATCCACTGAGCTGGCCAGAACCAACTCTTGCGGGAGTCTATCCCACATTTTCACAGCTCTCACTGTGAAGAAACCATTTTTCATATTTGGAGATTAAATTTCTTTTCCTCCAGACATAAAGAGTGCCCCCTTGTCCTCTGTCATGATCTCAAGGTGAATAACTCTACTAGAGATGAGCGAATCGAAGCATCCGAAGTGGAATTCGAGTCGAATATCGGAAAAATTTCGATTCGTGCCGAATCCGAAAAACAGCCTAATTCGGACGCGCGAATCGAAATTTTTCCGAAAATGGCGGCTGACATGTGCGGCGACGGAGCGGGGATGTCGGGGAAGGCGCGCAGACACAAGGCGCGCTGCCCCATAATGCATTCCTCAACGACATGTGATCGCATCAGCCAATCAGCAGCCAGCCAGCCAGCACTGTGTAATGGTCGAGGTATATATAGCGGCCATTTTGGAAATCTTCATTTGCCTGCAGTCATTGAACAGAGGCAGACCGCTCTGTACTAGGGACAGGGACAGAGTTAGGGCCACAGAAACGAGAATTGGGGACAGAGAGAATTACTTAGGGACAGAGAACCATTACTCAGGGACACAGACTCTTGTTAAATGAAGGGCCACAGAATCGTTATTTAGGGACAAAGAAACGCTAGTTAGGGCCACAGAAATTCATACTCAGGGACAGACAGAATTGTTACTCAGTGCCAGAGAATTGTTACTTAGGGCCACAGAAACGTTATTAGGGCCACAGAATTTTTACTCAGGGACAGACAGAATTGTTACTGAGTGCCAGAGAATTGTTACTCAGGGACAGACAGAATTGTTACTGAGTGCCAGAGAATTCTTACTCAGGGCCACAGAATTCATTCTCAGGGACAGACAGAATTGTTACTCAGGGACAGACAGAATTGTTACTGAGTGCCAGAGAATTGTTACTCAGGGACAGACAGAAATTGTTACTGAGTGCCAGAGAAATTGTTACTCAGGGACAGACAGAATTGTTACTTGAGTGCCAGAGAATTGTTACTCAGGGACAGACAGAATTGTTACTAGATGAGTGCCAGAGAATTGTTACTCTCAGAGGACAGACAGAATTGTTACTGAGTGCCAGAGAATTGTTACTCTACACAGGGACAGACAGAATTGTTACTGAGTGCCAGAGAATTGTTACTCAGGGACAGACAGAATTGTTACTGAGTGCCAGAGAATTGTTACTCAGGGACAGACAGAATTGTTACTGAGTGTGCCAGAGAATTGTTACTCTCCACAGACACAAAATTGTTACTTGCACAGACACAGAATTGTTACTCGCACAGACACCAGAATGTTACTCAGGGCCACAGAATTCATACTCAGGACAGACAGAATTGTTACTGAGTGCCAGAGAATTGTTACTCAGGACAGACAGAATTGTTACTGAGTGGCCAGAGAATTGTTACTCAGGGACAGACAGAATTGTTACTTGAGTGCCAGAGAATTGTTACTCTGCGCACAGACACAAAATTGTTACTTGCACAGACACAGAATTGTTTACTCGCACAGACACAGAATTGTTACTCGCACAGACACATAATTGTTACTCAGGGCCACAGAATTCATACTCAGGGACAGACAGAATTGTTACTGAGTGCCAGAGAATTGTTACTCAGGGACACCTAATCGTTGAATTAAATAGTATGTCAGACAACATGCAGAGGAGTGGCAGAGGAGGCAATGTGTTTTTTAGGAGCGAGCAGCACGTTTGGCACAGCAGAAGGGGTCGAGACGCAGCAGTATTCGCAGCCAGAGGCCAGTGCTCCGGTGTCATCCAGCTGTTCGTGTCTCCACCGACAACCCTGCCGTCCATTGATTGGTTGCTTCGGTCTCCGTCTTCCTCTACCCCAGGTCACCTCTGACACCTACAGCCATACGGTCGTTGGGTACGTCAGACACAACCGTTAGTTGGCATGGCCCGGGACCCAAGCCCCACCCTGAAATCACGTGTCCTCTACCTGCCCCCTGTCCCTTTGCTTTCCCTCCACCAAGCGAAGGTATCGCATGCTGTGGGCCTCAGCCCCACTGTACAGTGAGGTAAGAGCTAACAGAGGGCGTCCAGGAACGGGGGGAGACATGCATCGGCCTTTTCAGCAGCCAAGCGAACAAGTACTGGCGAGGAGAGTGGCTCGGTAGCCTGCCTGGTTCTAGAGACAGGTCTGTCTCCTGACCCAGACGCAGCCTAGGGGGCTAGTAAGTGAGGCGGAGACCGACTACTTGATGATGAGGAGGTTGATCGCACTTTGGCAGTCCCTCGTCGTCATCAGCAATTTCTTCCGCATCAATCAGGAGAAGAGGGTGGCAGCTTGGCAGCGAGCAAAAAACAGTCGGTGGGTTTGCCCATGGAACAACCGCAGCAGGTCGCATCGTCAGTGTCAGTGGAGCCAAACGTCCACGGAGTAGAGCACCAGCTCCACTGCAGCCTACCACCACGGCCAGTAGTGGTGCCGTTGCTGCACAGGAGGTAAGTAGCAGTCAGCCAGTGAAGAGTAGCGGGGGCAAAAGTTTCCTACTCGGTGGTGTGGCAATTTTTCCTCAAGCCGCCCGAGGAAGTAAACGTAGCCGTATGTCGACTATGTGGCC